TGAGGCTAGCCTGGCCAGCAATGTGAAACCCGAGCTCTACTAAAAATGCAAAAATAAGCCAGGCATGGCGGTATACACCTGTAATCCCAGCTACCCAGGAGGCTGAAGGAGAGTCACTTGAACCCAGAAAGTAGAGGTTGCAGTGAGCTGAGATGGTGCCACTGCACTCCATCCTGGGTGCAGAGCAAGACTCCATCTCAAAAAAAAAAAAAAGAGGGAGAGAGGGACTCTCACTATATTGCCCAGGCTGATCTCAAACTCCTACCTCAGATTCCAAAATATTGGGATTACAGGTGTTAGCCAGAGCGCCTGATCTCATCAAATTCCAAGGCTATAAGGTTTAAAATGTACACTGTGATATCTACAGCCTTTAGGTTGTGATTCTATCCTGTCAAAACTGCCTTATAGGCCGGGCATAGTGGCTCGCGCCTGTAATCCAAGCACTTTGGAGGCCAAGGTGGGCAGATCACCTGAGGTCGGGAGTTCAAGACCAGCCTGACCAACAAAGTGAAACCCCATCTTTATTTAAAAAAAAAAAAAAAGAAAGAAAGAAAACCGCCTTATAACAGGCAGTGAGAAATGAACTCCTAGGAAAGGATTCTGCTCTCTTAATAAGCTGATGTTCATTCCATTTTCTGCTGAAAACAAATAGGAAAAGGTACTTTAATTGTTTCTGTGACAAGATTTCTGACAGTTTACTATTTTCATCCATTGTCCTCAAAATGTCTATTATAAACCTTCTATAGTCATATACTTTACTAGAATCTAGGGATCTGACAGTGCAGAACAATCTCTGCCCTCATGGAGCTTAGACTGGGGGTTGGTGGGTGTCTGACTTTAAATTCTCAACTACGATGGCATTTTGTCCATTTAATGTACATTAATTTTATGTTATTTTTGAGATGGAGTCTCACTCTGTCACCTAGGTTGGAGTACAGTGGCGTAATCTCAGTTTACTGCAACCTCTGCTTCCCAGGTTGAAGCAATTCTCCTGCCTCAGTCTTCAGAGTAGCTGGGACTACAGGTGTGTACCACCACACCCAGCTAATTTTTGTAATTTTAGTACAGATGGGGTTTCACCATGTTGGCCAAGCTGATCTTGAACTCCTGACCTCAGGTGATCTGCCTGCCCCAGCCTCCCAAAGTGCTGGGATTACAGGCATGAACCACTGTGCCAGCCTTATTGCACATTACTTTAAATAATACAAAGAAGCTAGGAAGAGGAATCCAGAAATACTGCTCAATATAAATTTTTATCATCTGTAGCAGAGATGATGGTAGCTACGTCACAGGATTTTTTTCAAGGATCAAGTAACAATTACAAAATAAGCACAAATCTGGCAATCAGTATGTGCTCAATATATTAGCTATTAATAATAAAAACCTGCTACCTGTTTGGGTAAAAGCTGACCCTGTCCATTTAATACAATTTAGTAGGGACTGGACAGAAATATCCCAAGCAGATTAAAGATCTTATGGGCCAGGCATGGTGGCTCATGTCTCATCTCTACTAAAAATACAAAATTTAACTGGATGTGGTGGTGTGCACCTATAGTCCCAGTTACTCAGGAAACTGAGGCAGGATAATTGCTTCAATCTGGGAGGTGGAGGTTGCAGTGAGCCGAGATCTTGCCACTGCCCTCCAAATAGGCTACTTGAGAGCAGGGGGACTGCAGCATTTACATCTGCAGTAGGAACTGTTCACATCCCAGTCTATGTCAACAACGCTGCCCCCCAGAGTTGAAATATAGCCAATTCAATCTTGCTTGAAATTCTACCAAATTTCTACTCATACTTAAAGCTCTGATGAACAGGCTACATTTTAAAAAATTCTCCAAGTTAATATTACCACAGTTGTTCTCCATGGCTGTATATAACTCTAATTACTGAAGGGTTGGTGAAGCAGCCCAAGAACTATATTTATAAAACAAAAAAACTGGCCTTATGGGTCTTCCTTCAGCCTACCCATCTGCCAAGGTTAGGGTGGCCTGTTAAAGTTCCAGCATGTTTAGCTGAATTCCTCATTTTCACACAAAAACTGTACCTTTAACCTGTGGCTATTTAACAACATTATTTGCATCTGTTATATTCTTGTCCGGCTTTACGCCATATTCCTCCTCACAGTCCTTCATTTTCAAATTACACCACCAAATAGTGGGCTGATTTGATAGAGAATTTAGACAGTTGAAAATGTAATGATTTGAGTTTTATATCTGCTCTTCCTGTTTTCCCTAACACTTTAAAAAAACCTGTTTATAGTAAATAAACCCTACCACTTTATGTCTGGTGTCCCATGATGAAATCTAGTTAAGACTATGAGTCATTCATTCTTCTGTATCTTTTACAAATAAAACCTCTATCAGTTTCCCTATAACTTTGAATACTGACAGCTTTTTTGAATGAAAAATCTATACCCCCAGAAGAGCTTTTTAAATTATTCTTTTCAACTGTGAACCCTGGCTGTTCTCAGGATTACAACTCTACCCTTGGGTTAAAATGATCAGAGAGCTGTGTACTTGACCACATTACCTTGGTCCCTTGTAATGAACTGTGCTTCAGCATTATGTTGCTGGTTTCCACAGGGAGATCAACTTAACCACTTCTCACCTCTCCTCACACATGGGGGAGAACCAGCCCTATGGTGAAAAAAGCTAACTCAATGTTGTCTCAGTGGTAGTGACGAATCAGTCAGATCACTTAAATTCAGTTCCAATAAGAATGCATCATTGACAACATTGAATAAAATTAACTCAGGCAGCTGAAGCAAACAACCTTCTAATAAAAAAACAAATGGCCAAGACTTTAAAAAGCAAGCTTCTAGTTTTTTACTTTACCTGCTAATGCTTCTGCTGTATCCTGAAATTTCTCAAAATGTTTTAGCTTTACTCTAGAATTAAAAAAGAGAGAAACATGTTATGGGTGGGGGAGGGTGCAATGATTCAAAAGCCACATAACTCAAAAAGAAGTCTGTGACTGTTTCCAAAGCACACACCAATAAAACATGCCTATCATTGTGTATCACGTGCAAAGTTAGATATTCTTCATAAAATTAATAGTTTTTCTCATTTATTTATTTTTAGAGATGGGGTTTCACCATGTTGGCAAAGCTGGTCTCAAACTCCTGACCTCATATGATCCATCTCTGCCTAGGCCTCCGAAGGTACTGAGATTATTGGCAGGAGCCACCACACCCAGCCAAAATTAAAAGTTTATCTAATTGCTAAGCAAGCAATGCTCAGACTATTACAGAGAAAGCTGTAGGCTTTGAATGAAACTTGGGCCAACAGTAAAGATGCTGAGGCTTTAACATAAACCCGTTACATGAAGCTGTACAGAGATGACTTTATTATACAGCATAGAATTGACCCAGGGAAAAAAATGTGACCTTTTTAAGTTAAGAATCTCATGATATTCATTTGTCTATTCTGTACAAATGCCATTTAAAAATAGCTTATTGTCAGCCAGGTACGGTGGCTCATGCCTGTAATCCCACCACTTTGGGAGGCCAAGGTGGGTGGATCATGAGGTCAGGAGATCGAGACCATCCTAGCCAACATGGTGAAACCCCGTCTCTACTAAAATACAAAAATTAGCTGGGCACGGCAGCACTTGCCTATAATTCCAGCTACTCGGGAGGCTGAGGCAGGAGAATCGCTTGAACCAGGGAGGAGGACGCTGCAGTGAGCCAAGATCGAACCACTGCACTCCAGCCTGGTGACAGAGCTAGACTGCGTCTTTAAAAAAAAAAAAGCTTATTGTCAGATCTCTTTCTTGTTACCCACCACCCTTTCCGTTTTTGCGACAGAGTCTCACTTCACTCTTGTCACGCAGGCTGGAATGTAGTGGTGCAATCACAGCTCACTGCAGCCCTGACTTCCCGGCTCAAAGGATCTTCTAGCCTCAGTCTCCCAAGTAGCTGGGACCATTGGTATGAGCCACCATGCACGGCTTAGTTTTGTCTTTGGTAGAGATGGGTTTTCACTATAATGCCCAGGCTGGTCTTAAACTCCTGGGCTGAAGTGATCCACCTGACTTGGCCTCCCAAAATGATGGAACTACAGGCATGAGCCACCACACCCCACCTCAGAGTAGTATTTTATACAAAAAGAAACATATAGTTGACTCATTGTCTCAGTGGTAGTGACGAATAGAGTTAGATCACTTAGATTCAGTTCCAACAATAACACATCATTGACAACAATGAATCAGATTAACCCCACAAAGCAAATAATCCTTTAAGAAGGAAAACCAGTCTTCTATTTTCCTAAAACTGTCTTCTTATTTTTAAGATAGAGTCTCACTCTGTAACCCAGACTGGAGTACAGTGGTGCCATCTCAGCTCACTGCAACCTCCACCTCCCAGGCTCAACCAATTCGCCTGCCTCAGCCTCCAGAGTAGCTGGGATTATAGGAGAGCACCACAACGCCTGGCTAATTATTGTATTTTTTTTTTTTAGTAGAGATGAGGTTTTACCATGTTGGCCAGGCTGGTCTTGCACTCCTAACCTCTAATGGCCCACCCACTTCGGCCTCCCAAAGTGCTGGGATTGCAGGTGTGAGCCACCACACTGGCAACAGTGTCATCTTAAGCAAGGTTTTCTTATCTGGTAAGGAAAGATCCCTTAAATACACAGAAAAATACAAATATTTAAGATCTACACTAGGTTGGGTGCAGCGGCTCATGGCTATAATCCCAGCACTGTAAGGCTGAGGCAGGCAGATAATGAAGTCAGGAGATAACGACCATCATGGCCAACATGGTGAAACCCCATTTCTACTAAAAATACAAAAACTAGCTGGGCATGGTGGTACACACCTGTAGTTCCAGCTACTGGGGAGGTTGAAGCAGGAGAAGTGCTTGAACTCAGGAGGTAGAGGCTGCAGTGAGCTGAGATCGGGCCACTGCACTCCTCCCGCCTGGGTGACAGTGAGACTCCATCACATACATACAACAAGTCCTAAATGTTAACTGCTAAATTAATAATTTCAAGATTACTTACATTTTGTTGGCTTTCTCTGGAGTTTCAAATTCTTTCCATAAACTATCAACCTCTTGAAGTTTCTTCTCATTTAGAACCTGCAATAAAATGTTTAAATGGTTTTATTTAAATGGTACAGGCTAGGCATACAAAGCTACATCCTTCAAGTACAACCATACATGTAAAATGAGGGTGGTAGAAGCTGTTTCTTTCACTAAAATAATAAACTAGTTTTCTTACCCTGTATATATTTTTGGTCACATTCGTAGCTCAAATTGCCCATTTAACAGCTGAATGGAATTCGGATCTAGTCCTGTCAGACAGTCTATTCGAGTGCCTGGCTCATATTAAATAGCTTTTAACAACCTAGAATTGCATTGTAAGAATATACCATTATTTCTGCCCTTACTGATATTGAGCCAAGACCTCGCCACTGCACTCCAGGTTAGGCGACAAAATGAGACTCCATCTCAAAAAATAAAACAAACATACACACACACACACACACACACACACACACACACACACACACACAGAATAGTTCTAATTGTGTATATCATGAAGCTTTATAGTTGAAAGACATCTCACCAAGTCTCATGATCATACTGAAAACACTGATTACATTTTTTCAAATTGTCCAGAGAATCTGCTAACCATAACAAAGTTTGCCGTTTTTAAGAGGATATGTATCAAATAGGGGATATGACTTATGAGTAAAAGTCACGTCTTTTCTAACTGAAAAGCAAATATATCTGAAGATAACATTTGGGTAACAAAATTGGCACATTAAAAAAATACAACCACCATTATTAAAGTAACAAAGGAAATATAATAAAATCAGGGCAATTCATGAGCACACAAAGGTCTTCAAAGACTATGTTATGACAAAACCATTACTATGACAAATAAAACCACCATATTCCCAACTGTGTAAAAACATCTTAAAGAAAACTGCTAACAAAGACAATCAAAATAAAAAGTTAGAGATATTGCTACATTTTCTGTTTTACATTTGTCTCAATCTTTTAATAGTTTATTTTCAGCCAAGGTAATAAGAAATATTTGTATACACAAATCCATTTTAAGTTCTACCATTTTAAATTAAGATAGAATAATTTCCATTTCTAAGTAGAAATAGTATACAACTACTATTACCATTGCAATCTTTAGCATTGTTGTTACAATATTACTAGCTTTTAAAATAAGTCTTCATGGCTGGGCAAAGTGGCTCTTCTCACCTGTAATCCCAGCACTTGGGGAGGCAGAGGAGGGTGGATCACCTGAGGTCAGGAGATTGACACCAGACTTATCAACATGGCAAAACCCTGTCTCTACTAAAACTACAAAAAAATTAGCAGGGTGTGGTGTGATACATGCCTGTAATCCCAGCTACTCAGGAGGCTGAGGCAGGAGAATTGCTTGAAACTAGGAGGAGGTTGCAGTGAGCCGAGATGGCGCCACTGCACTCCAGCCTAAGCAACAAGAGCAAAACTCCTGTCTCAAAATACATTAATTAAATTAAATCTTTATGTTTTATAGATACAAACAGAAATTAAATGTCTAGGTCTTGCTTCCAAACAGTACTGGGGGCCACGCATGGTGGCTCACGCCTGTAATCCCAGCACTTTAGGAGGCCAAAGGGGGTGAATCATGAGGTCAGGAGTCCGAGACTAGCCTGGCCAATATTGTGAAACTCTGCTTCTACTCAAAATAGAAAAAAAAACTTGCCGGGTATGGTGGTGGACACCTGTAGTCCCAGCTACTTGGGAGGCTGAGGCAGGAGAATCACTTAAACTTGGGAGGTGTAGGTTACAGTGAGCTGAGATCAAGATCATGCCACTGCACTCCAGCCTGGGGGACACAGTAAGACTCTTTCTCAAAAAAAAAAAAAAAAGCTGGGCGTGGTAGCACACGCCTGTAATCCTAGCTACTTGGTAGACTGAGGCAGGAGAATCACTTGAACCCTGGACTCAAAGGTTGCAGTCAGTGGAGATCACGCCATCCAGCCTGGGCAACAAGAGCAAAACTCCATCTCAAAAACAAGACAAGGGGATGATATAACACAACATGGGCCAGTTGAAGCTAAGTGATAGGGTATAAACACATTCCATTCCATAGTATGCCAGATATGCCCAGAGCAGCTTTCTTTATCCCAGATAAAAATAAATGTATGTATAGTATCTTCCCTAATTTTCATTTTTTTTGAGACGGAGTTTTGCTCTTGTTACCCAGGCTGGAGTGCAATGGTGAGATCTCGGCTCACCGCAACCTCCGCCTCCTGGGTTCAGGCAATTCTCCTGCCTCAGCCTCCCTAGTAGCTGGGATGACAGGCGCGCGCCACCATTCCCAGCTAATTTTTGTATTTTTAGTAGAGACGGGGTTTCACCTTGTTGACCAGGATGGTCTCGATCTCTTGATCCACCCGCTTCAGCCTCCCAAAGTGCTGGGATTATAGGCATGAGCCACCGCGCCCAGCCTTAATTTTCATTTTTAATTGATTGCATGAGACTTTCTGTGTGACTTTTTTTTTGGGGGGGGCGGGGAGATGAGGTCTCACTGTATTGTCCAGGCTAAAGTGCAGAGGCTCAATCACGGCTCACTGCAGCCATGACCTACCTGGGCTCAGGCGATCCTCCCACCTCAGCCTTCTGTAGTAGCTGGGACTACAAGCAGGAACCACTGCACCCAGCTAGGTTTTTTCCCTGCCACGTTGCCCAGGCTGGTTTGCAACTCCTGGGCTCAAACAACCCTGCCTCACCCTCCCAAAGCGTTATGGTGACAGGCATGAGCACCCAACCTTTACATTTTGTTTAAATATTTGATGCTAACTTTTAAGTTTTACTTCCCAAAACTTTACGAAAGTTGTTTGAATACAGTATAAAAATGATTAGCTTAAAATGTGAATTGCTCAAGAAGAAACAAATCCATCCATACATGCAATGAGAGCAAAAAAGCTCTTGGATTAGCTTCAGAAGCATTATGTTAAGGGCAAAAAAATCAGCTGGGTGCAGTGGCTCACACCTGTAATCCCAGCACTTTGGGATGTTGAGACACAGGTGGATCACCTGAGGTCAGTTCACCCAGCCTGGCCAACATGGCAAAACCCGATCTCTACTAAAAATACAAAAATTAGACGGGCATGGTGGCACAAGCCTGTTATCCCAGCTACTCGGGAGGCCGAGGCAGGAGAATCACTTGAACCTGGGATGTGGAGGTTGCAGTGAGCTGAAGCAATGTCCCTGCACTCCAGCCTGGGTGATATATCGAGACACCGTCTCAAAAATAAATAAGAAGAAGAAGAAGAAGAAAAAAAAAAAGACCATTCCACTTACACGAAACTTCTAGAAAAAATTATGCAGCAAGAAGGCCAGGTGCGGTAGCTCATGCCTGTAATTCCAGCACTTTGGGAGGCCGAGGCGGGTGGATCACCTGATGTCGGGAGTTCAAGACCAGCCTGACCAACACTGAGAAACCCTGTCTCTACTAAAAATACAAAATTAGCCAGGTGTGGTGGCACATGCCTGTAATCACAGCTACTCAGGAGGCTGAGGCAGGAGAATCCCTTGAACCCAGGAGGTGGAGGTTGTGGTGAGCCGAGATTGTGCCATTGCATTCCAGCCTGGGCAAAAAGAGAGAAACTCCATCTCAAGGGCAAGAAGAGCGAAACTCCATCTCAAAAAAAAAAAAAAAGCAGAAAGCAAGCTGATCAGTGGTTGTTTAGAGCAGGAATAACTTGAGAACTTTTTGCAACAAAGTGTTATATAATAAAATATTTTGCTCAGTACTCAGGTTTTATATAAACATCAAAAATCTTTCTCCAAACCTTGAGAAAATTAAGTGACACAAAATGCTATACTACACAGTTACACTGTACAATATAACCTTAAAATTCAAATAAATTAAAATTCACTTCCTCAGTCATCTAAACTATATACCATGTTAAATGGTTATATATGTACTAGTGGCTACCACATGGAAGAGCACAGCTGAAGATAGTCTGGTATGAGCAAGACTAAAATCTTATGCTGTGTGCCATGTGACACAAGGACACAGGTTGAATTTTATAATATTCCTAGAATTAATCACAACAGTTACTCTACACAATGTCTTTACATTCATATGTATACATAACCCTGCTAACAACAAATTTTTGGAAGTGTTTCTTTTTGAATCGCTCTAAACATGAAGTGGGCAAAACAGTGTACGTCATGCCTGTAAACCCAGCTACTCAGGAGGCTGAGGCAGGAGAATTGCCTGAACCCAGGAGGCGGAGGTTGTGGTGAGCCGAGATTGCGCCATTGCACTCCAGCCCGGTAACAAGAGCGAAACTCTGTCTCAAAAAAAAAAAAAAAAAAAAAATTTCTTTTTTAATTAGCCCAGCATGGTGGCTGGAGCCTGTAGTCCCAGCTGCTTGGGAGGCTGAGGTGGGAGGATCACTTGATCCAGGAGGCCAAGGCTGCAGTGAGCCATGATCCTGCCACTGCACTCCAGCCTGGGTGACAGAGCAAGATCCTGTCTCAAAACAAAATTTAAATAAATAAAAATATGAATGTGTATGTGTACACTGGGTTACATATAAAACGTTTTCCTCACTGTAAATGGAGGTTTAAAAAAAACCTTAAAAAAAAATTTCTTGGCTGGGCGTGGTGGCTCACACCTATAATCCCAGCACTTTGGGAGGCCAAGGCGGGTGGATCACGAGGGTCAAGAGATCGAGACCATCCTGGTCAACAAGGTGAAACTCCGTCTCTACTAAAAATACAAAAATTAGCTGGGCATGGTGGTGGGCACTATAGAGTCCCAGCTACTCGGGAGGCTGAGGCAGGAGAATTGCTTGAACCCAGAAGGCGGAGGTTGTGGTGAGCCGAAATCATGCCACTGCACTCCACTCTGGGTAACAACAGCCAAACTCTATCTCAAAAAAAAAAAAAAAAAAAAATTTCTTAAAGCATTCTCATCAAGGCATGAATTGTATGCAACCAATACAATTTTATACCCTAGCATTTTGAAAGATTATGGGAAAGGAAACTAAAAACCTTGAACTGTATGCATGTCTACTTTTTTTTTTTAAATTTTATTGCATTTTAGGTTTTGGGGTACATGAGCAGAACATGCAAGACAGTTGCGTAGGTACACATATGGCAGTGTGTTTTGCTTCCTTTCTCCCCTTCACCCACATTTGGCATTTCTCCCCAGGCTATCCCTCCCCACCTCCCCCTCCCACTGGCCCTCCCCTTTTCCCCCCAATAGACCCCAGTGTTTAGTACTCCCCTCCCTGTGTCCATGTGTTCTCATTTTTCATCACCCGCCTATGAGTGAGAATATGCGGTGTTTCACTGCATGTCTACTTTTTTAGGAGATAAAATTCACCATTACATATCACATATTAATTTTACATAAATCGTAATATTTGCCCTTTAAAGTGTACAGTTCAAGTTTTAGTGTTTTTCCCACAAAAATGTGCAGCCATCACTAGTTCCAGAACGTTTGTTACACTCAGAAATTATCTTATCAATGTTAATTACAATAATTGCAAACTTATCAATCTCAACATATTCAAGCCTAACTAGTTATTTCTTTAATACTAGGTCACATAAACCATAATTTAATCAGTTTGAGCAGTAACTTCCAGATAAATAACACTGCAAACTCCAACTGAATACTCGACTATTTTTTTCTTTTTGAGATGGAGTCTGGCTCTGTTGCCCAGGCTGGAGTGCAGTGGCACAATCTCAGCTCACTGCAACCTCTGCCCACCTCCTGGGTTCAAGTAATTCTCCTGACTCAGCCTCCTGAGTAGCTGGGACTACAGGCACCCAACACCACTCCCTGCTAATTTTTGTATGTTTAGTAGAGATGGGTTTCACCATATTGGCCAGGCTGGTCTCAAATTCCTTACTTTGTGATCCAAACATCTCAACCCCCCAGAGTGCTGAGATTACAAGTGTGAGCCACCGTATCTGGCCTCAAAGACATTTTTCATTAATAGAAATCAGTAATTTATCGAGACATGGTTAGATATTTTAGGACCCAAGACCATTGCTAAGTCAATTCCTTCCTCCAATGGGAGACAACCAGCAGACTGCAGAGTTGCTCCTCTTAACATCCAGTTCAGGACAGTATTATCAATAAACTGTGATATTCAGAGATAGACTGACAGACCACATTGCCTAAGAGAATTTGGAGCTATCTACCTGAGAATTCAGATAAGATTCTAAAAAGTTGGAGAAAAGTAAAACAGATATATTTCATAGCTCTAAAGAGGACTAAGGAGCTTACTTACAAGCAAAACTGCCTTTTCGGTTTTAATGATTTTATTTTATCGGTTTTCTTAAAAATAACAAGTATTTGACCTATCAAATGCAAACTGTGTATTTTCAAATGTCAGAAGTGAAACATGGAGAACTCTGTACCCATCCAGACTTTCTGCATCCACACCACAAACGGTTTGTTTCACAGCTAAAATTGTACTCCATTTATTATCTAGCGTTTTTTGCTTTCTACCAACACACATATATGTAGAATATACATAAAAATGTTATTTTTCTTTGCTATATTCGCAGAGCTCTGAAGAGTGTATGGCACAAGAAAAGGCACTCACTCTAACTCATTCTTCCTAACATCTCAGTAGCAGCCTGCGGTACCAAGGTCTTATCGTTTGACCATTTCTATGCTGACGAACCTGTCAGTTTCCCCATGAAAACAATCAAATCTCAAATTGGTATCATCACCAGCCGAGATTACCCCCCACGCAAACTTCAAACTTGAAATACCGTCCGATCTACACCATTGAATTATCACTTCTAATAGACAAAGCAAGCTTCGCAAAGCCCAAACCGGAAATCTTTAGGGCTTCCCGCGCAAGAAACTATCTTATTTAAATCAAAACCCCACCTTTAATCTATCAGCCAATCATGTCTCTTCTACCTTCAAAATTTCTATCGGTATGTTTCTCTCCGTACCAGGCAATTTCGTCTTGTCTAAATTAACGCAAAAGTATTCTTGCTGCCTTTCTTCGCTCCTCGAGTCTAGTCTCCACACAGTAATCGTATTAAGACAAATTAGCAGGTCATTCCTCTGCTTAACACCCTTAGATTGGCCGGGCACGGTGACTCACGCCCGTAATTCCAGGTTGGGAAGCGAATCAGGTGGATCACTTGAGGTCAGGAGTTCAAGACCAGCCTAGCCAACATGGTGAGAACCCCCCCCCATTTCTACCAAAAAAAAAAGTCGGGCGTGGTGGCGGATGGCTGTAATCCCATCTACTCTGGAGGTTGAGGCAGGAGAATCGCTTGAACCCGGGAGGCGGAGGTTGCAGTGACCCAAGATTGCGCCACTGCGCTCCAGCCTCTTGGGCAACAAGAAGGAAACTCCGTCTCAAAAAACCCCAAGAAACTCCATTTGATGATTCCTCAAAACATCTAGAATAAAATCCAAATTCTCTATAACTTGTTAAACTCTTAATACGCCTCCTACCCACCTCTTCAACAGGAGGAAATAAAATCCTCTAAAGCAGAACGTTTCCTCAAACGGCGGGGCCACGTGCTATCTGTAACGTGGCTCTCAGGTGTAAAAGCCTCCTCCCAGAACCCGTGCGATACGAGGTACCCACGCTACCCTGAGTAGTTCTGTGCTTAAGTCTTTCCCTCTCCTCGTCTGTGCAGTACCGGCCTTCCCCCTTTAACGGCTCGCTTTCCCACCTACCTTAAAGATGGCGTAGCCAACGGACGTTTCAAACAGAACCAACATGGTGAGGCCAGATCAGGGCACCGCTCGGCCCGCCACGAGCTGTGACCTCAGTTCAAAAATGCCGACTATGCGGCTCCAAAAGGTCCGCTACGCCGCGGCGGGCAAAGCACAAACGTGCTGGCCTTCCTGCAGAAAATCAGAACACGTTGCCTAAACCCTCCAGGCTGGACTGTGAGGAGAACGCAAGAACGCGCTTCTCCTTCTCTAAGGATTCTGGGATAGCGACGTCACTTCCGACAGAAGACTGCTGCAAACCATGTCGTCACTTCCAGAATGTTCCCGCCATAGCGGGCGGGGGTGGGCCGGGAAAGGCACCTGAACGGAGCCTTTGCGTTTTTGTTTCGTTTTGTTTTTCGAGAGGGAGTGTTGCTGTCTTCCACGCTGGAGTGCAGTGCCGCGATGTCGGCCCACTGCAACCTCTAACTCCCAAGTTCAACTGATCCACCGACCTAAGCCTCCCAAGCAGCCTGTACCACCACACCCAGCTAATTTTTTTGTAGAAACGCGGTTTTACCACGTTGCCCAGGCTGGTTTCGGACTCCTAACCGCAAGGGATCCTCCCACTTCAGCCTCCCAAAGTGCTGGCATTACAGGCGTGAGCCACGGCGCCCAGCCGCCGCCAGAGATTTAAAGGGAAAAAACTTAAAAGTTACTATTTTGTTAACCCTTCATGAATGATATGTTTACTTTGACAGAAACGTGGAGCTATCTCGGTCCCTGTCTGCCTAAGGAATCTGGAATTTGAAATGCCGGCTAGTGCCCGTAGACATTACCCGCTTTCAAGCCGTGCCTTGAAACGAAGGCCTCAGAATGACACCATCATTGTCACTATATTTGCAAGTATTCCTGGCCGTTCTTTCTGGCGAAATTGATTATCAGCACAGATTTATCTCAAGCCTCTCCCATTTCATTTGTTAAAATGACCCCAGGGTATGAATTTAGACTGTCTTCTTGGTTTAGTGTAATTTGCTTATATAGGGGCTTTGTGGTCTCAGGGACTGGGATTAAATACCCCAGTTCTTTCACAAGTCTGCTTCCAACAGGAATAAAATTTCCTCACTTCCCAGGCCCTTTATGCACATTGTTCCTAATCATTAAATTGCAACCTGCTCGAGATCATGGAACATCCCAGGCTGCACGAGGTGGCTCAAGCCTGTAATCCCAGCACTTTGGGAGGCCGACGCCGGTGGATCCTGAGGTCGGGAGTTCGAGACCAGTCTGACCAACATGATGAGACCCAGTCTCTAAAAATAAAAATCAATTTTAATTAAAAAAAAGATTCTGGAAAGTTAAATAAGTAGCAACCTGGGATCAAGAGGACAGAAAATCCTGGGTTGAGTAACAGAAAGTCACGGGACAGAGGAATCCAGGGTGAATTTTTTTTTTTTTTTTTTTTTTGAGGGAGTCTCACTCTGTTGCTCAGGCTGGAGTGCAGTGGCTCCATCTTGGCTCACTGCAGACTCTGCCTCCTTGGCTCAAGCGATTCCTGTGCCTCAGCCTCCCCGGTAGCTGGAATTACAGGTGCTGCTACCATGTCCGGGTACTTTTAGTAGAGACAGGGCTTCCCCATGTTGGCCAGGCTTGCAAACTCCTGATCTCAGGTGATCTGACTGCCTCAGCCTCCCAAAGTGCTGGGATTACAGGCATGAGCTACCATGCCTGGCCTAGGGTGAATTCAAGAGCATAATTGGCCAGGTGCAGTGGTTCACACCTGCTGTGATCCTGCCATTGCACTCCAGCCCGGGCTGCTAAGCAAGACCCTGTCTCAAAAAAAAAAAAAAAATGCGTGGTTGATTATAGTTATAGCTATAATCCAGTGTGGTCAGGGAGACAAGAGAGACCAAAATTACTTGATTGGGAGAGGGGCATGGGTGGGTGGATGAGAGAGAAACACCATGTCTGTTTATAGTGATGTGTGTGTGTGCCTGTGTGTGTGTTTTGAGACAGAGTTTCACTATTGTTGCCCAGACTGGAGTGCGATGGTGTGATCTCAGCTCACCACGACCTCTGCCTACCGGTTCAAGCAAATCTCCTGCCTCAGCCTCCCGAGTAGCTGGGATTATAGGCATGTGCCACCATACTCAGCTAATTTTTTGTATTTTTAGTAGCGATGGGGTTTCTCCACGTTGGTCAGGCTGGTCTCAAACTCTTGACCTCAAGTGATCCGCCTGCCTCAGCCTCCCAAAATGCTCTGATTACAGGTGTGAGCCACCACACCCAGCCTATTTGTTTTTTGTTTGTTTGTTTTTGTTTTTTGAGACAGAGTTTCACTCTTGTGGCCCAGGCTGGAGTTCAGTGGTGCTATCTCAGCTCACGGCAACCTCCACCTCCTGTGTTCAAGTGAGTCTCCTGCCTCAGCCTCCTGAGTAGCTGGGACTACAGGCATGCGCCATGACAACTGGCTAATTTTTGTATTTTTGGTAGAGACAGGGTTTCTCAATGTTGGTCAGGCTGGTCTCAAACTCCCGACCTCAGATGATCTGCCCTACTCAGCCTCCCAAAGTGCTGTGATTACAGGCATGAGCCACTGTGCCTGGCTATAGTGTTATTTAACTGCACAATCTTTTCCTGTCTAGTCTCTTTAGCAGAAGTGACATCTGCTAGAGAATTGTGTCTATTTTATGCGTATTTGTGTCTGTATAGGATGTTATGTTGTTCTACTCATGAAATAAAATCACATTAAGTAATTCTTAAAAACTTAATGAATGAATATCTGCAGGAAGTAAAATTATTTTCATCTAAAGCCTTAAATCATTTTCCAAAAATGAAATGAAACCACTTATTCAATGAGAAATCTCTTTACCATGGTATCTCCTAGAATTTCTCCTTGTACATTACCATTTACATAATCACCTCAATATGATGCTTTAATCGGGAGTTCAGAGCTGACTCTGATTTGGGGTTTGTAAGTTGGCCAAATAAAGTAATTGGAGATTTTCTCTTGCAAGGGAGAAGAAAGTCTTAGTACTTTGTTAAAGTACTGAGTCAAACGGAGATAGCACAAAGAAATATGAGAAGCAGGTTGGGTGAGGTGACTCATGCCTGTAATCCCAGCACTTTGGGAGGCTGAGGCAGGCAGATCACAAGGTCAGGAGGTTGAGACCAGCCTGGCCAATATGGTGAAACCCATCTCTACTAAACATACAAAAATTAGCCAGGTGTGGTGCCATGCATCTGTAATTCCAGTTACTCCGGAGGCTGAGGCAGGTGAATCGCTTGAACCTGGGAGGTGAAGGTTGCAGTGAGCCAAGATTGTGCCATTGTACTCCAGCCTGGGCAACAGGGAAAGACTCTGTCTCAGGAAAAAAAAAAGAAAAAAATCTTGAGGCCCGCAAGGAATTTCCTTGTGGGTTAACTGTGAGGAAAGTATATAGCTTTTTTTTTTTTTTTTTTTTTGTTTGTTTGTTTGTTTGTAGCTATCTTATTTAGGAACAAAATGGGAGGCAGGTTTGCCTGACACAGTGCCCAGCTTGAAATTCCCTTTGACTTCGCGATTTTGTGGTTCTGAGATTTATTTTCCTTTCATAAGTTATTAAAAATCCTAACATTGTGCCCCTAGGCTGGGCACCGTGGTTCATGCCTATAATCCCAGCACTTTGGGAGGCCTATGTGGATGGATCGCTAGAGCCCAGAAGGTTGAGACCAGCCTGGGCAACATAGCAAGAACCCATCTTGATTTTAAAAAGGAGTTGTGCCCCTAGATTGACTCATAATCTGACTTAATGAGTATTGTACAATACAGTACATAATGGCCTGGTGCGGTGGCTCATGCCTGTAATTCCAGCACTTTGGGAGGCCAAGGTGGGCAGATCACTAGAGATCTGGAATTTGAGACCAGCCTGACCAACATGGAGAAAACTTCTCTCTCCTAAAAATACAGTATTAGCCAGATGTGGTGGCACATGCCTATAATCCCAGCTACTCAGGAGGCTGAGGCAGGAGAATTGCTTGAACCTGGGAGGCAGAGGCTTCGGTGAGCTGAAATCATGCCATTGCACTCCAGCCTGTGCAATAAGAGCAAAACTCTGTCTCAAAAAAAAAAAAAATACAGTACATGATGACATAGGGAAAGACCTACACTCTGGCCTGGACGACAGAGTGAGGCTCTTTCAAAAAAAAAAGATTTTGTTTTTTAAAAAAAGAAAAGCTCAACGTCTGCAAGTTAATTATATATTAAAATGATATCAATTATTGATATGAATAGTATATGTTAGTAATTGTATATAATAGTATACTTTTTTTTAAGAGACAAGATTTTGCTCTGTCACCCAGGCTGCATTGCAATGGCATGATCACAGCTCACTGCAGCCTCAGTCTTTTGAGTTCAGGTGATCCTCCCACGTCAACCTGTGGAGTAGCTGGAATTATAGGTCACACCAGCATGCCTGGCTAATTTTTAAACTTTTTTGTAGAGACAGTATCTTGCTATGTTGCTAATATGGTTTGGTTGTATCCCCACCCAAATCTTACGTTGAATTCCCAAGTGTTGTGGGAGGAACCTGGTAGGAGGTAATTGAATCATGCGAGGGCAGGTCTTTCCGGTGCTGTTCTCATGATAGTGAGTCTCATGAGATCTGATGGTTTAATAAGGGGGAGTCTCTCTTTGCCTGCTGCCAACCATGTCGGACATGACTTGCTCTTCCTTGCCTTCCACCATGATTGTGAGATCTCCCCATCCATGTGGAACTGTAAGTCCATTAAACTTCTTTTTTGCCAGTTGCAGTGGCTCACACCTGTAATTCCAGCACTTTGGGAGGCCGAGGTGGGTGGATCACGAGGTCAAGAGATCAAGACCATCCTGGCCAACATGGTGAAACCCCGTCTCTACTAAAATACAAAAATTAGCTGGGCATGGTGGTGCACACCTGTAGTCCCACTACTTGGGAGGCTGAGGCAGGAAAATTGCTTGAACCCAGGAGGCAGAGGTTGCAGTGAGCCAAGATCCTGCCACTGCACTCCAGTCTGGCGCCTGGCAACAGAACACGAAGCTGTCTCAAAAAAAAAAAAAAAAAAGACAAAAACAAAAACCAAAACCTCTTTTTCTTCCCAGCCTTGGGTATGTCTTTATCAGCAGCATGAAAATGGCCTAATACGGTTGCCCAGGCTAGTCTGGAACTCTTGGGCTCAAGCAATCCTCCTGGCTTGGCATCCCAAAATTCTGGGATTACAGTTGTAAACCACAACGCCTGGCCTAATTGTATACTTTTTAGGTTGGGTAGAAACACATT